AGGTGAGCGATAACGGGTAACATCTTCACTCAGCCACATTATCGCCACTCCACATCACTAAGAAGTGCCTATTCAATATCGTTACCTTTGGCAGAGTGCAGGGAGGGACACACTTTTATGTGTGTGTCCTTTTGTATTCATTAGACATACTGTATAGACACCTGCATGTGCACTTATACTCACACACACATTCACAGAATCACATCCAGTGGCTTATCTTTTGGAATAAGAAAAGGGGCTTGTCAGGATGGCACATTGTATGTATGTGTGTTTGTGTGTGCGTGTGTGCGTGTGCGAGGGGAAGGCAATGTGCATTAGGGCGATTACAATATCAGCCGACTCCAGATGGAGGCAGGAAAATAAACAGTGGGAGAGAGAGAGCGAGACAGAGCGAGGGGAAAGACATCATGAGAAGGAGCCTAAGCGAGAGAGATTCTGTATGTGTGTATGGGTGTGTGTGTGTGTGTGTGTGTGTGTGTGTGTGTGTGTGTGTGTGTGTGTGTGTGGCAGTCTGCCTGTGTGCGATACAGTTTGAGAAAGTGAAGTTAATTAGCAACTCAATCCCAGTCTATATACAGAGGACTGAGAGAGCAGTGTGTGTGTTAATGTTGTCCTGCACATGTCTATCAGTGTGTTTTAGTCCAGGAACTATGATGAAGATACAGTGAGCCGTCTACCTAAACAACTTTAAAACTACATTTCCCAGCTGTCTGTCTTTAACAAAACTGATAGTACAGCTGCCTCTATGTTAATGCTTTTGCAACAGTTAAGAAGAAGGAGAACAAGAACAAGAACAAGAATTTATATTATCATATTTAGGAACCAAGCTATTATAAATATGATTTCCCATTTGTTTCCTAAATGGCTCCGACTGTAAAAACCTATGAAGAATTAACTGCCTCCATGAAACTTGACAAATTGTCAGACTCTGCCCTGTTGGCCTCTTCTTCACTTGCCCTATAAGTCTCATGTTATCTGGAGTAAAAACACGAACAAGGCCAATAAAATCAGTTTGTAGTGCTCACTGTTGACTTTGACATTAAATAAGCTGCTGTAAAGGCCAACTCACAACTACAATAAAACAAAGACCTCTTGCTTTTGTGAGTGCCAGAGAGCGTATACACACACACACACACACACACACACACACACACACACACACACACACACACACACACACACACATATACATACACACAAACACAGGCAAGTCCTTTTATACCACTGCTGCTCTTTCATGGGTGATGAAATTCAATAAGCAGTGAAGAGAACTGCCCTCTCGCTGATAACCATCAATGGGCCTATCGATCTACAAGGGCATGTGTGTGTGTATGTAGGTGTCTGCACACACACACACACACACACACACACACACACACACACACACACACACACACCGTAATTCCATCTATAATTCACTCTGGGACTTGGTAAGAGACAGCTCTGAATAATCAGAACAGATCTATACATCTTGAAGGAGTACACGGAACAGTGGTTTTATTATCCAATTCTACTGTTGACATTTGCCCCCTGACTGCATGACTTCAAATGCAACCTGTACCTACTTCAATACACTACCACATCTTCTATCGTTGCACACATTTACGCAATTGCTGTTACTGAGGTCAGTGCGTTTGAAAACTAAATCAAGAGAATGATGAACACTGTGCGTTTTTTCTAGTTTTTCCTTGATTGAGATAGCAACAAACATTTCAGATTGACAATGCAGTTCACTTATTCAAAGCACTGAATTATACAACAAACAACCATGAAAAGCTGCCCCACTCTATACAGCATGTAACATAGCCAGCCCACAAATGAAGTAGCTTGTGTTCTACATACCAGAATCTAAAAAGACAAAACCAACTTGCCAAATAAAAGATAGATGATCTAACTGATAGCTTTGTGCCAGTAAATTGGCTCAGTTAAAACCAAATGAAACAATACAGCTGATTCAATCTTTCTGGGCATCATAAAATGTTACTGCTGCATCATCCAACAGCAAGCCTTTGCCTTGTGGTGAATCAATGTGTATCTATGAGAAAGCTGAGCCTTACAGCTGATACAGAAAAACACAAGAGGGCTGCATGATGTAGCCGGCATATGAACTCTGTTGAGTCATAATCACTTATTCACAGTAAAGCAAAACTGGACTGCATCCAAACGTCTGTGTGTCATACTTAAAAGAATTGCTTTGTAATTACATCACAGCATCGGAGCCTCAGTATGACTCTGTGCTAAAGAGGAAATCAATGTTTTGTTTTTTTTGCCTTTGACATAATAGTAAATTCATTGTTTGAGGCTGTGGTCTAAGGGCTGTATTTGGATGCAATACAGAACTATTATCTGTGGTTAGCATCAAAAAGCACTAAAGGAAGAAAAATGCAAATAATCATGCTAAAGTGAGTGTGCCTGTGCGTCATCTGCTCGCCACATTGTGTCACTGTGCAGAAGATACACGCAGCATCACTCTCTCAACCTACCAACCAGGGGTATGTGAGTGTTTGTGGTCTGTGTGTGTTTCTGTGCTTGTGTGTGTGTGTGTGTGTGTGTGTGTGTGTGTGTGTGTGTGTGTGTGTGTGAAAGCGAGAATAAAATGGTTGCCATCATTTTTGCAAGGCCACGTCCGTGTCTGTGAGCAGCGGTCTGATGCGTTTGACCCTATAGCCTGAGAGATGGGGGGGGGGGGAGGGAGGGAGGGAGAACAGGTGTGAGGCAGGCTGGTGGCTGGGCAGATGGCCCCTGGAAGAGCTAGCTGATGCTGCAGAGCCTGGACCACAGAGAGTTAGCAGCTAACGTTAATACAAGCCTGTTTATACAGTGTACACTGACTCAACAACACACACTCAAACACACACACACGTGCAACCACATGCACACACAAACATAGTGATAACCTGCAAACAGCACTTATCATTTACTCTCCCCTCATCACCAGCTTTGTTTACCTTTCATTTACTCATTCTCTCTCTCTGTGTCTCTCTCTCTGTGTGTCTCTCTCTCTCTCTCTCTTTATCTCTGCAAACACACACACACTCCAGGTAATGGTCTTTTCGGTCAAGTCACTACTTTAATGGAAGTCCCAGTGGTTCAAGAATTGGAGAAAAAAACTGATGACAATTAATGAAGGCCAGGCAAACCAATTTTGACCACTGCCATAAATAATAATGATAAATAATGATAACTAATAATGATCTGCTTTGGATAACGCTACATATGCATCATGACAACCCAATATAGATACTGTCTTGGAGAGGACAGGATTTTCTCATTTTAAAATAAAAGAGACCCTTATATCTATTCAAAATGCTCATTAACAATTATCCTTGTTTACCTATTTAACTCGGCAAAGACTACATCTGTAGCGGGTCACGCCTTAGAGTGAGGAGTTAACAATCACCCTCTTGGATGCTTACAAAGCTTTGCATGGGACTATTTCGCATGCGCAAAAAAAAATGTCCACAGCCCTGTGGGCTTCCAGGAGATATTTCCTCCCTCTCTAATCCGATCCGTGAGAACAAGTCGGGCATCGGCAGCAGGTTGTGCCCCAGCAGCCTCCCTCCCTAACCCGCATGTCTGCTCTCTTCCCAGTCTCCCACTGGAGTAAAGTATAGCCTAAACCCTTTAATTTTAATCCTACGCCTCTCCATTAAAAAAAAAAAAAAAGAAAAACTTTTTGCGCTTTTCGCTTATGTGATGATGACAAAGTCGCAGCGGATGAAGGTGGAAACTTCACATGGATGCGTATATGCGTTTGACAGTTGTGACAGAGCTCCAGAGGATGTTTTCAAATGCAAACTCTGAAATGCAAAGTCGCTCTAGAAGAGAGGAGAGAGGGAGAGGCAGGGGAGGCTCTGCACTGAACACGGAGGGATGGCAATATCAGTGCATCAAAATAAAATAATAGAAATCTTTCCACCAAAACATCAGCAGCCACAATTTCTTGGAACAGAATGATTAATGACAAAATATTAAATGGAAAGAACAATTTGTCATCCAATATCAGGAATATCCTGTTTATTCCGTGAGAAGGGACTTCACTTGGTGTTTCTAATTCAATTGCTTCTATTTAAAAACCTGCATGCTCTCAGCACTCCATACACATTACTGTCTACCGTGCTGGGGAGGAGTGGCGATACTCGCCCCACTATAAACCTGATAAACTAAGTGTGAGTGTTGCTTTCTGGGGGTTTATCGGCTGATGTGAAGGTTGCTTCTAAAGCGGTCTTGACAGATCGAAAGAGAGACACCAAACTTGATCCGTTAAGTTAAGCCTGTTGCCCGAGAACAACTCTCCATCCTGGGCTCAAGAAATGATGTGTGCTTTTTATGGAGACAGCAGCAAGTTGGTGACACTATTTAAACAAACTGAACCAGTCATTTATGGAAAGCAATTGTTCTTCTGATAACAGAAAATGGAATCAATTACTGGTTGTTCCTTTTAAAGCGCAGTCCTTAAGACACAATCAAGTGTCTATAACGGCTTTGGTAGGACATTTAGATATTCTGAATTTTGAGAAAGTGCGTGTCAGTTGCATAATGTTTGGATATATAGCTGATCTTCAACTTCAGTTCCTTTAAGTAAATTCATATAAAAAAAGAAGAAAAATCTATGTTCTGCTGCTCAGCCATATCTCCCATTAGAAAGAAATGTGTTTGTAACCATATTACGCACAGCGCAGACACGCATTGTTCTCTGACAATGAAACATAAAAAATAAATATTTCAAGAAATAATGTAAATGTTAGCTATACATAGTGTGTTTTTATACAAATCGCTCCACAACTATAATTCTGGATCACCATACCGTCTGCATACTTTACATTAAAATACATGAAATAAAGCACACATGTCAAATTCTACAGAGGGTCAGCAGCTATTTCATTAACATTTCTCTCTTAATTTGGCGCGCACATGAAAATATGAGGCCACAGAACAGTCCAAGCCAAGGTGTGAATGGGAAAATATAATCGCTATAGCAAAAGAGAGAGTCCACTTACACTGAAACGAGGCAGAAATTCCCACCATGCGGTACGTTGATGTGAGAGGGCTAAATAATTTCCAGTCCCTTTGACTCCGCGCAAGGTCCCCTCGATGATCCGCTTGTATCGGGAAGGCGAAAGCTACAGAGTCCAGCCAGCTTTCAGAGGCTCTGGCGGTATACTTCCAGCAGCTCGGAAATGTGGTTCAAACTCCGACAAAAGAAGAAGAAGAAGGGCAACTCACGCCTCGCAATAAGTAATCAGTCACTGGGGATAGTCTGGATGGGAGAGCCGGGAGTCTTGGAAAAGCGCAGAGGCAGAGAAGGAGGAGAGATGAGACAGAGATGGAGAGGGAGGATGCGGTAGTGCGCAGGGCACCCGTTTAATGTTCTGCCTGTCTTTCGCACTTTCCTTCAAAAATCCTTTAAACGTCGATTCGGTCTAGATCGTAGAAATCGTTTTTTTTTTTTTTTTTAAATATGAGAATTCATGCACACACCCTCGGGCTGCTTGTTTTCTGCTTCTCCTTGTTGGTGTGGGGAAGAGGAGTAGCGGCGCTCTGCCTCCAGTCGGCGGTGCGCAGCTGAGCCAGGTGGCGGTGGGCGGGACTGTGGCGCTGCTGAGGAGGAGGAGGGGGAGGAGGAGGAGGCGGCGACTGGGCAGCAGCCAGCATCTGTGTGTCCTAAAACAGGTTGGAAAACGCAGGGTCAGGTCAAGTCGAAGTGTTTTCTACTGTGCCATTGGCACACCAGCTTCTTCACGTCAAGGGCTCCTAGGGAGTTTAGATCAGGGTTTTTTTTTTTTTGTTAGTCAAGGATGGGTTCACATTTGTCTTATAATTATTCGTACATGCCCATATTGGTGTAATGGTTTCTTCTTTCAATTCTGTGAAATCTCTTCCTAATGCAATAAGTGATTGTGGACTAAAGCCTCATTCTGTATGAAAATGCCTCCTAAAGTTCAACCAAAGCTGAAATGATGCTTCAGCAGTCTGAGTTGGACAGTTTTGTTACCATGGCTTCACTCCAGCTCGGCATGGAAACACTAACTGCATTTCCATCTACCAATGTGTAAGGCATATTCAGTTTGTCTTAAAAAGTAATAAAGTTTTTACACTTAACTAAACATCCACTGAAGACATCAGATCTGTGTGGAGCAATCAGGACTGTAACATTCCCCAATTCAATACATCAAACCAAGATAAATTATATTTTTTCATCATGTTTTCCTCATTGTTTTTGATAGTTTGAGGTTTGACTGCACACATCATCTCACTGCACCCGACTGGAGATGTAGCACCACCAGCTGTTTATCTCGTAATGGAAAGTGCATTAATTCGCATTTTCCTTCCAAGATTTTCTAGACATCCGTTTAAAATTTGCGTTCAGTTTTGGAGGGAAACTTGGCTATTGATGGAATGGCTGTAACTTGGTAAGATAGCCACTTGATTTGTAACAATTTGACAGCCACTTGATTTGTATAACTCATATTAAGCCTCTTATACTTCCACAGAATAAAGGCTGTAGATTATTTGTATGGCACTGTAGTTGCAACTCATTTCTGAGTTGAATTATTGAAATCTCTATTTGTTTGGGGAATTCGTTAGTTGTTGAAACAAGTGATCAAAATATTTATGCCTATCAATTCAACTACATATGAAACTGTTGATTTATTTTTGCTTGGGACCCCCCTGGAGTGTCCTTATGGACCTGTAGTGGTGCTTTGAGAACCGTCATAGACAGCAGTGGAGTGTCATGGACAAGAACCAGCCAGCTGAGTGCTTGAAGAGCTGGTTGGCTGTTGTGTGTGTGGGTGTGTGAGCAAAAAAAGTAGGACTGCGTGATACATGTGCTGACACACACACACACACACACACACACACACACACACACACACACACACACACACACACACACACACACACACACACTGTATCTCTATCTTTCCCTCAGCTGAAAAAGGCACAGGCAGGCTGGCCTGCAGTAACCTAAGGCAAACACTTTCCCCGGACCATCTGGAAGTCATCTCGCCCGCAGAGCCAGTGAAAGCACAGAGCAGAAGCTACGTTTACAACTCGGTGATAACAACCGGTCCACTTGAACTGCATGGTTGAACAAGTCATGCACCATAGCTCGTTCATAACATCTCGTAAATTAAAATCTTCTATTCTATTCTGCAATGCTAATATACGTGTAGGCCTTTTGGCTAAAACAAATTGACATTATGCTGGTGTTAGCTACAATGACTAAATTCACTTAATTGTGAGACATGACATTGATGTAACTGTTGTCTGATGTCAGATTCTGATTTAACAACAATCCACTGGTCTCTAATTTCCAGGCAATACAAAGGATACACCTGAAAAACAATACATAATTCTGTTTGTTTTAACCAAAACAAATGAATCATTCTTTTACTGGAATATCCTTCATCAACCTTATGGAGCATCATCTTTTACTTTTGTCTGTCATGTACTATATGTAAAACATCCAGTGGGTTGTTAGCGCACCATCAGCATGGAGCTCATTGTTCCCTCAATGCAATCTCTGTGGGGAAAAGATGATGCCATTAATGGCAATTGTTTGCAACAGTGCCATTGAGCATTTCTCTCTTTCACTTCATCTTTCCCCCTCTCTCGCTCTGCCTCTCATCTCTCCCTTGTGCTTCAGTGGTGGGTTGTATTGTGTTCTCAAAAGGGAATATGGATAGATACAGTCTCTGGCACCCTCACAAGCAAATAGCAAGGACTCTTTGCTCCACTTCCATTTTCCAGTCTGGGTCCTTTTGTCAATCTTTGACAAAGGCAGTGGGATACACAGGATGTGTGAATAGATATAAGGGGAGAAGGTGAGGGATGGAAAGGGAGGGAGGGAATTCTGAACGATAAGAAGAGATGAAAAGAAAATGAGACATGATTCATAATGAAACTAAGGAGGAAGGGAAGTCTGTGATGAGTACATATCTGGGGAAAAGGTAGGCCCTAAATCAGACATGAGAAAGGTCAGAATCGGTGCAGAGATAACATGCCCACTCACTGAGCAAACTAACGTGGTCAGAAAAATCAGCAGGGCTGTAAGGATGCCGTCACTCCTCGCCTGTTTGTGTCCTCTGGTTTGTTACCGGAGAGCAAGTTCTCTCATGACAATCACAGCGAAACATCTTGACGGCCGGAGGCACAAGGATAGGCGTTGAGGAAACCTGCAAGGGAAAAGAGAATAGGGCAATGATCCGTGTGTGTGTGTGTGTGTGTGTGTGTGTGTGTGTGTGTGTGTGTGTGTGTGTGTGTCCTGTGATAACGGTGCGTGAGAGCAGGAAACACACAGTGCCTGTTTTTGCTACAGGGGTTCCTGGAAGTCAGCCGCCCAGTGTGATCGGCGACATACATACACACACACACACGCACACACACAGGATACCTCGCCTCTGAAAGGGAAAAACATGCTGCGTCTGATACATGTGGACACAGACAAGCAGACTTCCTGCATTTTCCCACCTACTGGGCGGCCACCTGTAACAGTCACACACACACCCACACACACACACACACACACACACACACACACACACACACACACACACACACACACACACACACACACACACACACACACACACACCCACACACACACACAAACACACACACGCTCATATTACATTCATGGGGACAAAGCCAGAATGAGACAAATATAAGTTGGGAGTTGACAGTAAACAAGTGCCATTCGAACCCCCATAATTATCTGGCATTGGATCAACATTGCCTGAAGCCAAGCAGCCTACCCCCAACAAAGCAATATGATAAGAAAAGAGACAACTGAAGTAAAGTAGCTTACTTATTGCTGTATTTTCTGATCTATACAGAACATTATGATAAAGACGTCAATGCTGAAGCAGTGGCGTTGAAGCGAGAAAGGAAAATGATAATGCTTCTGTTCCCAGCTGAATCCATTTTCTATCTTTGACTCTCTTTTTGTCACAATATCAACCTGATTCTAGTCCCACATTTTATATATCCTCTGTTCCCTTTCCGTATACTAAATCTCTGGCCATTTTATTGTCATTTAATTCCAGCCATCATCCCTGCCTACATGACCCCCTGCCAGCTTTTGGGACTTTGCTTGATCTCTCATGAGATAAGTTTGCATTCCCGTCCTTGCTGGTCTGGTACTGACTTTTGGCTGTTTTAGTAAGTAAGTAAAACTGAACTATGAACCTGAGTTGTGCTTTTGGATCCAAAAGGTTTGTTGATGTATGTATATATTCCCTAAAATCTATATTTATATATATTTATATATAACATCTATATCCAAGTGTATATAAAATAGTTCAAATTGGATCCATTTTGACCAACTGCAAGAATAAAATGCTACTTACACATTAATGCATCAGTAATAATAGTGAAATAATATTATATTGAATAGTACGCTCATGGGGCAATGTTTCTGAATTATGCGTACTTATGTTAACCAACTATATGTACATTTTGGCATTAACCATTATTGACATTCTTGTATGGCAACTGGGATGCAGATAAATCCCACATTACAAAAAATGGAAATATATTTATACAGCACGCCAATTAGTGGGCACTATGTAAATGTCATGTTTTTGTAGGACATTCAGTGCTGAATTGCAAAATTCTTCTGCAGATTGAACTATAGTGAACAACTCAGATTGAATATTTGATTAATCTGCTCTAGAAAATTAATGAATTAATTAAATTAGCATTGATTGAGACAGGGAGTGTCAGTCTGTCAAGGGAAAAATTTGGCTTTTTATCGGATGCCCTCGCAAGGTTAATTAATTGGTTTGAATGTGAAAGAGTCAGTTATTTTGTGCTAACTGCCTAAAATTTAATATTTGAAATATATAGGTAAACTCGACTAGACTCCTTGATTCCATCATCAACATGCCACAGAAACACACACATGCACTACTAACTCAAACATAGTCATTTTTTTCCTGTCACAAAATAATCAAATATTTAAATATGACATACCACACACATTATTCTACAACTCATGGAGAAAGTCTGAAAACCAATTAATTAAATTCAACAATTCAAACAAAATCCCTAATGCTCCTTTCATAGAGATGGAAAGGGATTGTGGGAGGGAGGAATAGAGACAGAGCTGCATGATGGGATAGTAGCTGCAGTGCAGCATCTTATGCAGGTATAGTGTCTGGAGAGGGATCTTACTCACACACTGGGGTATTATGGAATTCAACCCACCGTCTGGCTCGTAGCAAAGGAGAAGAACTAAGTGGGCGAAAACTGACAACCTTGCCTCCCTCCATGAGAATGTAAATGAGTCTCCAACTTCTGGAGAAGACTGGCTGAATATCCTGACAGCATGCAAACATGTAAGACAATGACTTTCAAATCATACTATTGATAAGGATGTCTTATTATGTCATAGTATATTACTGGACAATCCATGTCTAATGAGCAAACAGGTTGTCATCTAAATGAATAAATTACGTTTAAATATGATGTAGGAGATGTTTCGTGAAAGCAGAGAAGAAAGGGAACATAGGGATATCCCCACTGTATTGTCTTTGTATACATCA